TTCCTTGGTTGCTGGCAACTTACCCAAGATGGAGACGCAGAATTTGAAATGGTGTTTGCTGTGATCCCCAGGGCGTTTGATACTGGAATACTGACTCAGAGCTGCCCGCTCCGTGGCTAAACATCCGAGGTGACAGCATGAGAAAACTAGGGTTTTATTTATTTTATTTATTTTTATTGATTTCAGAGAGGAAGGGAGAGGGAGAGAGAAACATCAATGATGAGAAAGAATCATTGATTGGCTGCCTCCTGCACGCTCCTTACTGGGGACCAAGCCCACAACCCGGGCATGTGCCCTTGACCCTTGACTGGAATCGAACCCGGGACCCGTCAGTCCGCAGGCCGATGCTCTATCCACTGAACCAAACCGGCCAGGGCCAAAAACTAGGGTTTAAATTCTTGCTGTGACGACATGGAGCGACCTGGATTCCACTGAACCAAAGCATCTCTAGGCCTCCTCGTGCTAATACACCTTGTGTTGCTGCTCTGGAACTTTTTACCGTAATGCGGGAATTCACACTGGTTAAGGCATTGTGCTTCCGTGGGAAGGGGGTTAGAATTGATTGGGGCTTAAATTGGGCTGGATCTCTCAGGACCTTCAGCCGCTGTTCTTTTGAACTGAGAAAGGCTAGGAAAGGGATTGCCAGTGAGTATGGAAGACAGGGTTCCTTTTGAGAGTACTTCATGGTTATTTTGGTTAACCTCAAAGCACTGATTTAGGGACACGGGAAGCTCTGCGTGTAAGTAATATAAATATTAGACACAAGCTAAACACTTCGATCCACCTTTCAGGGCCTTGACCTCAGTGGTATGAAACACTGAGATCACTGGTCAAATTTCCAGTCTTTGTCCCAATGTTGGGGGCTAGAATGTTTAGTTTCTAATTGGGCATCACAAAAATCACTAAGTTATTATGTTGATTTTTCTCTCTCTTTGGACAGACTAAGGTTTAACCTATAATTAAGAGATCATGTTGAGGCAACCACCTAATCCACTAGAGAAAGATCCATCCATTTTCCCCAGAGAGGTTTCCTCTTTCCTGAAGCCCATGACGTACCCATATCCCTCATGACAGTTCTCCTTTCTCAGGGACCACTCCCCAGAGCAGCTGTCCTCCACTCCCCGGCCCCAAACACCACCACCACTAACAACAACAATCACCACCACCACGATCAGAGGCACAAGACCCACACGAGGAGAACTCAGCCTCCCAGCGTCCAGAGCAAAACAATGAGCGCAGGAGGGGAGGCTGCTGGCTGAGATAGGGGGCCCGCTGTTCAATAGGCACATTGTTTTGTCACGGCAGGTGCACACGCTGGAAGCCTGGACCCCATGGTCCTTCTTCCGTTTCCATCAGGAGGCCCCGCTTTCTGAAGGCCAGGCCTGGATGGGAAAGGGGGCGTGAGATCGCACCACTCGTTCTTGGCGGCTCTGCTGCTCCTGGCCAGGACAGACCCCCATTGGTTCAGTAGATCTCTGCCTACAGGCAGGATAGACTCAAGGTGGTGACAACAAAGGCTGAGGAGCTCCCTGTCACCCTCGTCCCATGAGGGGCCTGTGACTACCTGCTGTCACCCCCTGGGGCCTCCAGAACCGAGTCAGGACTGAGATGAGACGCAGCTCCCATCACACACCTCTGCACACTGGTGCCTGCAGATGCAGTGCGTTCCTGCTGTCGCTGTCCTGACAGATGCTTGACTCCTGCTGAGAGTGACAATGTGATCCTCGCTCTCGCTCTCGGTGAGGAAGTCTGAGTTACTCCTCACAGAGAGGAAAGGGAGGTGTGGAAAGGAGTTTCCTTCAAGGGTCAGGTGCAACAGGGAGAGGAGGGCAGTGTTTGGCAGCCCAGTTGTTTTTCTGACTTCTCGTCCCCAACGTCAACAAGTTCTAATGTTGAATCTTTGTCTCCTTAAAGCCCCACGGCCTCTAATAACCGTTCTTCTACTTTATTTTTTATTTTAAAGGATTTTAAAATTTGATTTTTAGAGAGAGAGGAAGAGAGAGAAACACCATTAGGAAAACAAAACATTGATTGGCTGTCTTCTGCATGCCCCACCCCTGCACACCCCCTACTGGGGATTGAGCCCCCAACCCGGACACAAGCCCTGACTGGGAATTGAATGGGCAACCTTTTCCTGTACAGGATGGCGCCCAACCGACCGAGCCACGCCAGCCAGGACTAATAACTATTCTTTTAAAAAGTCAAGATATTAAATCTAATAGAACTTAAAAGGAATAAAAACCCCAAAGACACATAAAAATCAACCCAGCTCACAGAGAAGGACATTTTGGGTTGAGTTGGCAGCCTTGGGGACCGCAGGGGGTTACTAATCAGTTTGCAATTGACTCCAAGTGTTAATATTGGTATTTCACCAGACAGGCCGCAGAGACAGCTGGTGATGCCACAAAGTGCCCATCACTCGCGCGAGTTCTATCCCTAGACTTGTGGACATCTGGACAACATGGCCATTCTTGAGGCTCTGTGGTCAACCCAGCTAGAGGGTGACGGAAACGAACCAGACTCAACCTCAGTCTCCACATTCTCTACAAAGCCACATAGCTTCGGCTGCTGTGGCAGGACGCTGTTAGTCAGGCGATGCACACTCCTAGGGCTAGTAGGTCCTTCCTCTTTGCTCATTTGGGAATCAGAAATAGAGATGATACATTTTTTGGGGAAAATCAGTTTTGTCTAATGAAAACTAAACAAGGGTGGAAAACAATATGGTAACTAAAATATTGTAATTATTTTTGTAACCAAATGGCACTGTGTGAAAACTCTAAACACTAATTTTTTTTCTCTTACATCATGATAGGCTAGACATATTCTCTGATGAGCTTTTCCTAGGTTAGCTCATGAGAGTCCTTGATTCAGCTTTTGGGCCTCATTGTTTCTATATATATATATCTTGATTTCAGAGGTGAAGGGGGAGGAGGAGGGGGGAGAGAGAGTGAGAGTGAGAGAGAGATTAATGATGAGAGAATCATTGATCGGCCACCTCCTGCACACCCCACATTGGGGATTGAGCCCACAACCTGGGCATGTGCCCTGACCGGGAATCGAACTGTGACCTCTAGTTCACAGGTCCATGCTCAACTACAGAGCTACACCGGCCGGGCTCATCCTTGCTTCTTGATGCTTAAAGACAAATGCTAATTCTTGTGTTGACTTGTAATTAGTACCTTGAATTCATCCCTGAGATCAGTGTGTTTAAAACAGGCTGTAAGAGGATTTTCAAAGAAACACATGGGGATTTACTCCCCTGGCTCCCATTACTGTAAGAGCTGTGGATTTAAACCCTTTGCAACTGACCCAACATTTACCCCTGCTGCCTCAGAGTGCCAATTAAATAATGCAAACCCAAACCGTGGTCCGGTGTAATTAGTTGGAGAACAGGTTTATGGTTTTCCTCATGCCAAGAAACAAATGGGCCCCTCTGGTGACAAATGCAGGGTAGTTCAGTTTGGACAGAAAAAGCACAAATCTCACATCTGAACATTCCTTGTGCTGCTTGGCAGGAAGTTGTAATATTGAAAGACTGAGAACGAGAAAAAACTCTGGTTCCAAATAGTTGGAAATGCAGGTCCTGTGGTTGTTTTTTCTTTTTTCCTTTCATTACAGAAAAGAGTCAAGACTTCAGTTGATTCAGGTTTCATAAAAAGGTATTACTTTAAAAAATAGGATTCTCATAGGGACAGGCTTTAGCATACGAGAAAGATAGTTCTAGAAAGACTGTGGGGTGTGAGGGAGTAGCAAGTTGGTGGTCCTGGAGCAAGCATAGCCCAGTGCCCGTCCTGGCTGGCGTGGGAGTGAGGGCTCTGCTTCAGGACAAGGCGTACAGGAATCTAAGGATGTGGGCTGGGTGAGGTGAAGTCATCCGGGTGTGTGTGTTACTGCTTCTGCCTCTTTGTTTAGTTTAGTTTGGAGGAGAGGGGGTTGAAAAAGGAGGGAGAGAAGAATAAAAACCAGGTGAACAAAAAAGCCTCCTGCACAGGGAGACAGACCATGGCAGGACACGGGTCTAATATTTTCATCTTTGCTAATTCAAAGGTCTTTTATTCTACTTAACCAGATATTGCGGACATCATTTCACCATGCTGGTTTGAGCTGGAAAATCCTGGAACACAAGGCAGGGAATGAACTTGGTCATGAAGGGATGCTGGGTAGGACAGGGTCTTGGGCGCTGGCTGGAGGTGTCCATGCGGTCATCAAAGTTAATTTCTAATCAGCGTTTCCTGAAACACGTGGGTGTGTTCTCCCCCATGTGTGTGCAGGCTTATGTGTGGGCTGGGAAAGACAAGTAGCAATGTGCAGGTGTAATGAAGAAAAACATACCTTTTTTTCCTCATGAAAAATATTAGACTGGGTATTGATAACCTGTGGGAGCTGTTAAAAAAACCTCAGGAGCCCTAGCCGATTTGGCTCAGTGCATAGAGCGTTGGCCTGCAGACTGAAGGGTCCCAGGTTCGATTCCAGTCAGGAGCACATGGCTGGGTTATAGGCTCGATGCCCAGTAGGGGGTGTGCAGGAGGCAGCCAATCAATAATTCTCTCTCTTCACTGATGTTTCTCTCTCCCTTCCTCTCTGAAAAAAACAAACAAACAAAAACAAAAAACAAACTCACAACAAGGTCACTTCTAAAGAGATTATGATCTGGGGACCAGAAAACTTACTTGAACATATTCTGAGTCTAAAGTTTTCTTGTAAAAATAGTCACAGAAACTGGTGGATGTTTTTTACGTACAACTCAATTTCTCTCATTTACAACATAAATCATTTAATGTAACATTTGCAACCTTAGAAAGGCAGACATATTTAATCCGAGTCAGTTTATAAATTCCAATTTCACATGGATTAAAAACTGCAGATAAATTAAGTCACAATAATATCCTGTACATGCATTAAGGCTGGTGACTGCTAAAGTCTCTTGGGTATCTACAAACAGGAAATCACACACAGATTACTGGGTCTGAAGAGTGTCTACATCATTAAAAAAATCTTGCTTTTTTTTTTTTTTTGGTGATACAGATTTCAACAGTAACTCTGGAAAACTGTGAAAAATGTTGTTTAAAAATATATATGTATATACTACTGCACAGTTTCAAAGATGTGATTCATAAATAATGTTGGTTGCACTGATTAATTTTATAACAATTACCGTACTTCCAAGGTGATGCGAACACGCAGTGACTTACACTCAATGTTAGGCACTAGTCATACCCTTCAGGCGTACTATAGTCTCATGGTAGCTGTATTGTACATATATATTTTTAAATGTATGCATTTATACAAACTGTGTATCGTATGCATGGGATTTCAGAAATGTACACATCACTGTTATATAATACACGCATCAGTGTTGCACACACTGGGTAAGTTTTAGTGCAGGGAGTCTCATTGCATTGCGTTCTATACGTTCAATCTAGTACACAATTTGTCAGCTTTTCAGATTATTTTTCCAGTACATTCCTCATTAGATCGTGGGTCCAAGTTTCCATTTGTAATTGGAAAGTTTCCAGAAATATCTGTTTTAACCAAACCTCTCTTTCCAGGCACAACTCTGCACATAAGTCTGATCTGTGTAGAGCAGTCACAAATCCCACATGTTGATCAGGAATGCATTTGATTACATTGTGATAAAGGGTGGCATCCGTTCAGGTCACGGAAGGATAGGTCAGTTGACTTGTGCTGAACGGCTAAGGAAATATGTCTCCAAAAAGAAAGACATAATAATGGACAGTACATGTTGAAACAGGAGAGTCACTAGAAGGACAGACATGAAGCTGTGAACAGTGGTTGCTTGGGGGTGGGGGGAGATTGGGGTGGGACTTACTACTACTTTCTACATTTCCATGTTGTCTGAATTTTTACATTGAAGCATGTATTGCTCTTATAATCAGAAAATGCAAGAAATATATTTCTACTTTGAAAAAAACTAAATAAGAGGAACAGTTATGAATGACTTTCACACGCAACAATAAGAAGTTGGCTCCTTACCATAATCATCTCTTCAAGCTCACACACACTGCCCCATCGTGCTCCATGATGAAACGAAAGGCCACCCCCACAACGACAGGTTTTGTTGGGAAACATGGTCTTCAAAACACTGGTAAAACGCCAGAGGCCACCTGTGTGTGTAGATGGGGCTTCACGGGTAGCACACCACGTGGATAGCGCACAGGCCTGCAGCTTTAAGATGGTCGAGGCCAGCAGAGCACCTGGGGACACACCTGAGGGTCACCCCTTATGTGAGAGTTTGAACATTTCAGCGGAATTCAGCAAGAGCAAGCAGAACTAAGCCTCAGTCCTCCAAACAAACAGACAAACAAACACACCCCACACACCAGTTCACAATTTCTTAAGTTAGACTGAAATTCCCAACATGAATGGGATCATGAACTCTACCCACAAGGACTAGCGAGAGGGTGTGACAAACCCCTCAGCTGGATAAAAGTAAAACAAACTCTGAGCAGTGCAGATGCTTGAAGGCCAAAGTCAAATGCCAATTTCATAAGCCCTTCACTTGCTCTTTCTAAGTTAATTTCGGGTCACCATGCGCACAGATCAATCATTTGTACAGTTTTGAAAGAGTGCTGAGAGCTAGGGAATTACAGCAATCTTACTTCCACTATCCATCAGGCTGACAATGTCAACATCGAAACTGGACCAACTGACCGTTGGCGAGAGCACACGAGTATCTGTTATAAATGCTGGGCGCCACCGCCCCCTGAAGAAAGGGTGGGGGAGCTCCGTAAACCGCACCGCTGTCTTTCTCAGACCAGCCTGGTGCGATATGGTCAAGTGAGAGGCCTCAGGGACATTTTTTTTTGTTTTTAAAATATGGCAAAGTACATCCTTTTTTCCCCCAGAAGTTTTTCTTTTTAAGCAATAATTTTATATCCAAATATATTTAATAAGAAGACTAAATCTAGGACATGACAGGGGACTATAAAATAAACAAGTTTCAGACAAAAACTGTAAACAGGTGTCAAAAAATTAAAATGTAAACTTAATAAAAAAAAGAAAAGAGTTAAGGGCGAGATGTAAACATACCAGACACAGAGGACATGAGCGTGACGTTCTGGGGCTGCTACCCCAAACAGCACCGCGACCGAGGCAGGAAGAACGCACCCTGCGCGGTAAGCAGGCAGCTAACCGGAGCCCCACACGTGCCCCCGTTCAAAATGCATTAACGTGGCACATTCTGCAGGAGGCGTGAGAGCATCAGACATCGTCAGGAGCTCGAGGCTCTCAGCCCGATAAGCAACACACACAGGCTCCCAGCGAAGGGGCAACCGGGGTAGCGTCCTGATTTGGCCAAGACGTTTGTAAGAAAGCTATCGTGGAAAGAAAAGGCTTAAAAAATCGCCACATTTAAAAGACTGACAAGTGCCGCCAAAGCTCCCCAGCCAGGTGCCACAGAGGCAGGAAGAAGTAACACCTGCGCAGGGCGGGCTTGTTGCAGGTGCAGGAGGTTCCAGTTCCTAACGGGACTCCCAAACGCAGCCGTGGCTGCCTGAGCGCTGGCTGGCTCGCTTCCAAAAGCACCGAGTTCTCTCCGAACATCTGCGCCAGGTTCAGACCACGATGGGGGCAGGGCAGTTGATCCATTTGCTCACCACGCATTTAGCCGATGATAAAGTTGGATGGAGGGGGCGAGTAGTAAATGAAAGGCAGGGCATTTGGTAACATGCAACCTAGTAAACATCCAGCAAAACGTGACTGACGTTCATTATTCAATTACCCATGAACACGTACAACCAGAGGGTAAGTGGGGATAGTATATCAACACTGGAAGTCATCAACAACGTAAGGACTAGGTCGTCTTGACTGGCAGTCAGGCTGTTGGTGTGCTGCATGTGCTGCACCTGTGAACTCACAGCGAGATTTTGGTTGAATGTTCTAAAAAGTCATGGTTTAGCTTTGAAGTAGAAAGTGTGTGTGTGTGTGTGTGTGTGTGTGTGTGTGTGTATGTGTGTAAGTGTATTTCCTCTAATCAGAAACCTCTGACCACTTTGTCTAGCCTGGGATTATGGAAACTAGACAAAGAAAATAGGTTTTAAGAGCTGTGCTTCTTACACACACAGGCTGCTGCTTCTACACCCACACATACAGGCACACATGCCCTGGGAAAAGACCATTGTTCGAGGCTGAGAAAATATTCACTGGATTTTGATAAATGCTGTGGCTGGGAATGTCAGTAGCACAGTGTCCAGAAACATTGAGCCGTCCACGGAGGTGGGAGCACAGTGCGGCCGCAGGGCGCGGTCCCTACGGCAGGTGGGCGCTGTTCCGCAGCCAGTGCAGGCCCTGCTGGGAGTACTGGACCAGGTGCTCCATGCTGCTGTGCAGGGTGACCGGCCCCATGAGCAGATCCAGGTCGTTGAAGAACTCTAGGGGACAGACAGAGTGGTTAGAGCGCCACACACGCTACGTGTGCTACCCTGGGACCCAAGTGACTTAAGAAGAAACTCCACTCGTGGCCCTAGATAGGGAAGTTTCTCCGTTCCATCATGCGACTTCAGCATCCCACTGAACAGAATGAAACACAAAGGTACAGAACTCAGACTTTTATCCAAATAGTCACTCTATGGGCAATTTTTAATTCAAATGAGTAACATTTACTTAGCCCAGGGGTGGGCTTGTAAATGTTATTTACAAGGGCCAATATCCAAATGGCCCTTGGCTTGTTTCTGCCAAGGGCCATTTGGATATTGATACCATCATTCTCTGGCCAGACAAAGTTATCAACTTAAAAATCAGCCTGCTGCGTTTAATAATCTCACCCCTAATGCCTTGGCAGGGCCAGACCAGATGATTTTGCCGGCCTTATAGGGCCTGCGGGCCGGATGCCCCCCCACCCCTCCTTGACTTAGCCAAACAGCAAAAAACTTGACTTCCTCAGGACATTCTCCTGGAGCAGCAATACTTCCCACTCTGGACGTGGGCTGTGTCTCTGTCGCCCTCCCCCTCGACCCAGCTGAGGCGTGTGCTGCACTGACAGGAGTCCCATGGAGGAGGCTCCAGGTTCCACGCTCCAGGCAGCAAATCAGAGGCAGCTGTGAAACAGCTCCCAGCCCTTGGACTTTCTCTGGGCTGGTCCTTCCATTAAACATGTACTATGTGCCAAGGCCCTGTGCTAGGTGCAGCAGGGTAGACAGGGAGTGCCAAGAGATCACAGCTGAGTGGCCGGGAGGGACAAGTACATCCGCAGGGCTGCTATGCCATCGTCGTAACTGGATTGCGGAGCAACACTCCTTCAAAAGAAGTGCCTTGGAGACGTTTTCAGAGGTGCTCATATGCATACATGCTGAATGAGGGCCTGCTGGGAGGCCAGGGAGGGCTGAGGGAAATGCCAGGTCCAGGTGGCTGGGAAGGTAGCCACGCAGGGACTGGAGCAGAACCGTGAGGGGAGCTGGTCCGAAAAACAATACTGACTTCCCGTTAGACATGTGCCCCTGGGCCCTCACGGAGGAGCCGTCGAGTAGGCCGCTGCCAGTGCAAGAGCTGGCCTGCTCAGGGTGTCCCAAACTGGCCACATACATTTTTATACATTTGTCCTTCTGTTTTGTTTACTTGGGACACCTTCCCCACTCCATCTCGGCTACTCAACTACTATTTGCTTTTCAAAATCCTGTTCCATGCCGGCTTCCCAGTGGATTTTCAGGGTCAGCACCTCTGGGCTGCACGTCACGCGCTACCTGGCTTTCTCATCAGTTTCATGAGCTCAGGCCCCACTGCCTATCCATGCTGTAACTTCCTCGTCACACTGTGGACAGCCTGGTCTTGTCCTCAGAGGCTTTACGCTGTCATGGCACCAAATGTACATCCAATGACTGGAAAGTGACCTCGGATTTGCACTTTCACCCGAGTAGTAAGTTGGTATAATCATTTGGGAGAAAAATTAACAATATATATATACCAAGATATCTATACATATAAAAGCCAAGTGACTGGAACGAGCAGTCACTATGAAGCATACTGTGGCAGCCAACCAGCCCGATCAGGGCCCTGATCGGTCCCCCATCCTCCCTCGGCCCAACCCTCCTGCTGGCCCGGCCCTAATCAGCCCCCATCGGGGCGGGTGGCCTGACTCCACCCATGCACGAATTCGTGCACTGGGCCTCTAGTATAACAATATAGATCTTAAAAGAATGTATACCTGTTGACCCCCAAATTCTACTTCTGTAACTCCTTCCTATGAAAATAATAAAATATATGGAAAAGGACTTATGCAAAACTATCATAACCTTATTTGTAATAGTGGAAAAAATTGGAAATAACCTAAATGTCCAACAACAGGGGGATGGCCTAAGAAATCATACTTTATGATTGTATAACCACTGTTCTGACAATAGTATAGAACCAACATAAAGGGTGTTTTTGAACTAGTTAGTAACATGAGAAAATTCCTGATATACTATTAAACAACAACAACAAAACAAAACAGGGCATAACACTGTAGATATACTATGACCTTATTTTGGTAAAAATCACACATATTTGGAGGAGACTAGACGAGACTTCAGTAGAATGTTAACAGTAATTATTTCTTGGTGGTACGATTACTGATGATATAAAAATATTTCTTTCCTTTACAACAGTTTCTATACTTTATAAATTTAGCCACAATAAACATGCACTCTGTTTATAATCAGTAAAAAAAAAAATTTAGAAAGAAATGGAACTTATTGCTTCATGTAAACACTTTTTTTTCAGTTGTAAGCAGCTATCCCTTAAAAAGCCAGTAACATTCACACTCATTAATTCATTCATTCAATGTTTCAGACCTCAACCGTGTTCTGGGCTCGGTGCAGGTCTTAGGAATACAAAGTCAGAGGAAACAGAGTCTGTCTTCAAGGAGCTCACTGTCAGCAGGGAAAAGAACATGTGTGCGCACATCTATGTCTGTATCTACAGATCTGTATCTTTGCACATTACTTGTGTCTTTATCATCTCTACTAGAGGCCCGGTGCATGAATTTGTGCACAGGTGGGGTCCAGCTAGCCTGTCCTGATCAGGGCTGACCCTGATCAGGGGCAGGGCCAGCTGGGGGGAGGGGCTGCGGGTGGTTGGCTGGCTTCCTCCCCCCCCCCCCCCCCCGGTCAAACTCCAGGTCGAGGGGACAATTTGCATATTAGCCTTTTATTATATAGGATGTGGAATCTTCCACAGTGAAGATAAAGGTGGGTTAAGGCCTGAGTGAGGGGAGAGGTTGGGAAGTTTCACGCTCTTCCACAGTGAAGATAAAGGTGGGTTAAGGCCTGAGTGAGGGGAGAGGTTGGGAAGTTTCACGCAATAGGTGACAGCTTCTAGAATTTCTTCTTCGGTAAATGATGACAACTTGTGTGGTGACGCCCAAGGTCAGGTTGTCTCCCTGAGCTGTGGTCAGGCATGCACACACACCCCAAAGGCACACACCTCGGTTTTCCTTGGCCAGGTTGTCTGCCATCTCCCAGTAGTCGTAGCTGTGGAGAATGCTGTTGGTGATGCTGACGTGATTGGCTGCCATCTGGTGGATGCGCTGTGGGATGCTGACGATGGTCGAAGGGGACAGGGCGCTGGTATTGGAGAGGCTCCCCTGAGATCCCACGGAGCTGGTGGGGGAGGGGTTGGGAGACATGGGGGATGGGGTTCCAGTGCTCCTGGAAGGGGAGAGCAAGAAAAGCAAGGTGGAGAGGCTGGTTCCCGGTGAGGCGGGCCAGCCCCAGGGCACCGTAAGCAAAGAAGCACACTGCCCAACACCAGGCAGTGCCTTGTTTATCGCCTTTACTTTGGAAAAATGAACTTACTCACATATGTAATAACTTAATCAATAAAGAAATTAAAAAAAAATAAAATGGTGAATGAGAAAAAAAGGAAAAAAAAGAAAAAAAGGAAAAATGAACTTACTTTCCACCGGCTCCCCATGGAGATGGGGCTTGGGCAGCTTTAGATGAATTCTGCAGGAAAATAGAAACATGGACAGTGAGCCATCTGCATAGGTTTACAGAGCTGACAATAACATGCTCTCAGGTGATGGCTGAGATTAGTAATGGCTGACACTGCAGAGAAAATGCAGATTCCCAGAAATGAATCTGGGAAGTCGCAAATCCTAGGGTACTGCTCCCTCTCTGAAACCCAGTGGGGACAGCTGCCTGGCCTGCTGGGTTCCACAATTGGCTAAAGCCAAGAGCTTATCCTGTAGCCTGGGATTTCATGCACCAAATGCAACGTATCAAATTAAATCATAATCCAGAGGGTCTGCTGAATCCTGAGCCAGTTTAATTTTTTCACCTGAAACTAGCTTAATTTTTCTGGAAAAGAAAAAAGACCAGACCTCCCGTCCCCCATGAGAACACCCCATATTGAAATGTAGGGCATATCTGCAGGAACCGTTGGCATACATTTAATGCCTGGAAATATGAGACATCAACTTGTATTATTTTAACTTATGAGACTTAAAAGTATTTCTCTTAAAGAAAGTTCCTCTTGAATATTTCTAAAAGGACAGATTTAAATATATTTCCTTGACAGGTAGGGTGTTCAAAAATTCTGATTTCCTGAATATCCTGACTGGGGAGGATATGTTTCCCAAGCCAGTTGTCTGCATCGGGCATTTACAAGAAGTTCTGCCTTTGGTGAGGGAAGTTCCTAAACGTATAGACAGACCCTCTCTGAGAGCCAACGATGACTTCTGGGACCTCCGTCTATGGCCGGTTAGAGGGAAGAAGTCTTTATACGCTGGTGTGAGTTTTCCCCCATCCCTGGCCTGTTAGAGGGAAGAGGTCTCTATACGCTGGTGTGAGTTTCCCCCCATCCCTGGCCTGTTAGAGGGAAGAGGTCTCTATACGCTGGTGTGAGCTTCCCTCTGTCCCTGGCCTGTTAGAGGGTTAAGAAGTCGCTACAATACTGATGTGAGTTTTCCTCAGTCCATGGCCTGTTAGAGGGAAGAGGTCTCTATAAGCTGGTGTGAGCTTTCCCCCATCCCTGGCCTGTTAGAGGGAAGAGGTCTCTGTATACTGGTGTGAGCTTCCCTCTGTCCCTGGCCTGGGAGAGTGTTAAGAAGTCTCTACAATACTGATGTGAGTTTTCCTTCCTGAGACAAGAAAACAGCCTTGTCCTGGTTCCCTAGACACAAAGCATTGCTTTTGGTTAAAAAGAACTTCACGAAGTGGAGACTGAGTTTTAGACTCCAGTGGGGGTGCTGTCAAGATGGTAGACGTGGCCTTGTATGTGGCAACTGTCAGTTGCCATCAGGCCTCTTCCTTGACCACCAGGCCCCGTGACTGTTAAAACACAGGGAACAAAGCCCTCTGTTCAGACAGCTCTGTACCGATAGAGCAGTCATTGCAGACAATTTGTCAGTGTTACCTGAAGGCCCATGATCGTGGGACTTTAAGGAGCATTTAAAAAGCCTTTGATTAAGGGTGACTACCGGGAACTCCTGGAGGGGAAACTCTGCTTTTAAGTGTGTCCTCTCTGCATTGCGCACACACTCAGGACTGTATACGGACACTAAGAACTTCTTGTATTCCTTCAAGTTCTGTGGTAACCGCTGTGGCCTGCAGAGTTCAGATTCCTTCTCAGTGAAGCATTTTTCTTGACTGTAATAACTCTCGTTAGTATTAGTTCTTAGATTCTAACATTTTTAAAATGACTTATCTTGACCTTAGGTGCCCAAAATAAAGGGAAAGGCTTAATGTTAGCCAAGACTGTTCCCTTCTTGGCTTAGCACCTGGTTACTCCTCAGGCACGACCAGGAAGGGGGTGGCACGCTGCATACAGCCCGCGGACCCCAACTCAGCCTGGTCACCAGAGATAATGTCTAAGTGGGGCTGGGGATAAAGGGTCTAAAATGACGGTGGTGCATGGATTGGTGGAGGTAGAGGTGGTGTAATTTCTTGTTCCTATAGACAGATAGACAGTAAAGAGGCCCCAAACCTCAAATTAATTATTACTTCAAGTCTACATCACAAAAGTGTTTTTGTTTTATTTTCCCAGTGAAAATGATTTCATTTGCTGAGATAGATAAAAGTTCTATCTTTGTGTTTACATATTGCTAGTGCCTCTGAGTTCCAACAAGCCATTTCTTACCATTTTAAATAACACCGTCATCAATAATTAAAGTAGCTACTGGAATTAGCTAAGATGTTCTAAGTAGTTACTTCCAAAAGGAAGAAGCTCGAGGTGCACATGAGGAATCTATGTGAAATACCAAGATGCATTTCCTACGACACGGAAGTGGGAACTCAGTCTCCTTTCCCTGGAGGCCATCGGAATGCCCGGGCTCCAGGCAAGGGGCTCTCAAGGCCATGCTCAGCCCTGCGCACCACGAACATGTCACAAATGGGTCAGAAGGCTCCTGTATTCTCCTCAAAGCAATGGATCCTGTCCTCAAAATGTCCCTGGTAGGGACACAACTAAATACGGGGAACCATGTCCCCCGATAGCCAGACAGTACCTTGAAATAGTCGATAAGTGCTTTTGAGTACTTGACAGCGTGATCTCTTTTGAGTCGAAACATCCGCCAGTACAGGAGAGCCAGGCATCGGTAACTGCAGGGAAGAAGAGAGATGAGCCCTGCAGGCACAAGTGTGTCCTGTGCAAACAAGACTTTTTAAAAATCTTTTGTTGTTGTTGTTGTTAATCTGCACCTGAGGATATTTTTCCATTGATTTTTAGGGAGAGTGGAAGAGAGAGGGAAAGATAGAGAAACATCGATGTGAGAGAAACACATCGATTGGTCGCCTCCTGCATGAGCCCTGACCAGGGCCCGGGCAGGGGAGGAGCCTGGAACCAAGGTAAGTGCCCTTGACTGGAATCGAACCCAGGACACTTTGGTCTGCAGGCCAACATTCTATCCACTGAGCCAAACCGGTGAGGGCTCTAAAAATCTTCTTGTTCCAAGTACTCAATATTTATATCCTCATTGTATATACAGTATACATACATACATACATGTCTGTAAGTGTCTGATCTTCCTTTTGTTCAGAAGGTGTACTTCACAATTTCAAGGGGTTACTCCATAAATGCATTTGCCATCAGATCATCGGTTCTCAACCTGTGGGTCACGACCCCTTTCACAGGGGTCGCCTAAGACCATCCTGCATATCAGATATTTACATTACGATTCATAACAGTAGCAAAATTACAGCTATGAAGTAGAAACGAAAATAATTTTATGGTTGGGGGTCACAACATGAGGAACTGTATTTAAAGGGCCAGAAGGTTGAGAACCACTGCATCAGATCATTTAATAATAGCTTTATTGCTTTGTTGGGGTACGGGGCTGGCCATTTCTTCTGCCACCACTAGAGGACAGTGTCTCTCCACGGAGGAGTGAGGAAGCTGCAGCTCATAGCTTTCGCTGCTTAAGGGGAGTTTTGGGGCAGAGTGACCTCACTCTGATTTCCCTCTGACACCCTGGCCTTCCCGCACCAGCGGTGTTGCTGAAAGAATAACCATCCACCTGCTTTTATTCCTTTACCTTTAAACTATTTTACTGCAATTAGTTCAAATAAAGGGACAGATATGTGTTTTTATAAATAGTAAAAACTCTATGCTGGGAATAGTTAACATTTTATTTTATATATTTTATTACTTACATATTAGTAACCTTCTATAATGCCAATTACTAATCATCATTAATTTATTAACCCTAATATGAAATTTAAAATTTGAAAAGAGTGCAGAAAGCATTTCCGAGAAATGCTTTTTTTGCTTGGTGCTTTTTACGCTCTTTTGCTTGGTGCTTTCCACTCATAATTATTGGCTAACTCGGGTGTGGTGTTGACCTGGGAGATTACCAACATACCCAATACAATATAACGGTCTCTTCTTAGCAGATCAAACTCCAGATGATGTGATGATGCTAAACTATGTGAGGCCCTCTTTTTTCTTGTATGTTGCTGTTATTTTATTTATTTATTTATTTATTTATTTATTTATGAGGCTCAATTGTCCACTGCAGATCAGGGAAGTAAACCTTTGGGGGCAAACATTTTGGATCCCTGTCACAGAAGGAACAAATAGAGAGGTGTCTTGTGATTTGTGGGCGTGGGAGGAGGTGTACTGAGAAGATGTCACAGGGAAATTACTTTTATAATCACATATTCATTATTAGTGTAATCGTCATAGAAATAAAAACCTATTAATGTTGGTTAACATTTTACAAGGAAAGCTTTTATTATCAAAGTGTAATGAGCCGCTCCTCAGTTTAATGTGTTGAGGACTTGAATGCGTCATCTTCATTCACTCAGACTAATCCCATGTATAAAGAGATAGATGAATTATTTTGATTGCAACTAAAATGTTCAACACAAGAGAAATTACATTTGGCACAATTCACATTCAAATCATTAAAACACAAACCTACCTGGTTTTAAAACACACACACACACACATACACACACACACACACACACACACACGAAAAGCTATCCTTGCCTAATGGACCTGTTGATTTTCAATACCTGAGTAGGCACCTCCTGGCTGGCATAGCAGCAAGCAAAGCAATGGGTGGGCTCTCCCTGGCCACCAGTGGACTTGCATTTGGTTTTGCATGTCAGAGGCACTAGAAAAACATTATGCTCCAGCACCTGGTTTACCAATGACAACATCCAGGCTGGGCAGGCTGTTTTAAGCTGATATGATGCACTCACCATAACGCAGCCAGCTGTTTATCCTCTGGTGTGGCATTGGGGCCTGAGTGGGTCTTTAGTCTCATAGCATACCTAGAGGAAAAGAAAACAAAACCAAAGAAATTTTTAAAAGTTTTTATTAAATTTATTGGGGAGACAGTGTTTAATAAAATTATGTAAGTTTCAGGTATACAATTCTCTAATACATCATCTGTATATTGTACTGTGTGTTCAACAACCCAAGTCAAGTCTCCTATCACCATTGAACCCCACCTTTCTCTATGTAATCACCATACTGTTTTCTGTGTCTATGGGTTTCTTTTTTGCTTAATCCACCTTTTTCACCCATCCCTGCAACCCCCCTCCCTCTGACAGCTGTCAGTCTGTTCTCTATGAATCTGTTTCTATTTAGTTTATTTACTTTGTTCATTAGATTACACATATAAGTGAGATCATATGGTATTTGTCTTTCTCTGACTCACTTATTTCACTTAGTGTAATACTCTCCAGGTCCATCCATGTTGTCACAAAAGGTAAGATTTCCTTCCTTTTTTTATGGCCAAGTAGTGTCCCCTTGTGTAAATATACCATAGCTTTTTTTTTTTTTTTTTTTTTTATCCACTCATCATCCACTGATGGGCACTTGGGCTGCTTCCAAATCTTGACTATTGTAAATAGCAATGCATTGAATATAGGGGCACATATTCTTTCGAATTAGTGTTTCAGGTTTCTTCGAATATATTCCCAGAAGTGGAATTGCTGGGTCACAAGGCAGTTCCTGTTGTAATTTTTTTTGGAGAAAACTCCATACTGCTTTCCATAGTGGCTGCACCAATCTGCATTCCCACCAACAGTGAACAAGGGTTCCCTTTTCTCCACACCTTCCACAATACTTGTTTGTTAATTTATTGGTGATAGCCTTTCTGACAGAGGGTGACATTTCATTGTGGTTTTAATTTGCATCTCTCTGATGATTAGTGACGTTGAGCATCTTTTCATATGTCTTTTGGCCATCTGTATGTCCTTTTTGGAGAAGTGTCTATTCCGATCCTTTGGCCATTGTTTAATTGGACTGGTTGTTGTATTAGTGTTGAGTTGTCCGAGTTCTTTATAAATTTTGGAAATTAGTTCCTTCTCAGATGTATCATTGATGAATATGTTCTCCCATTCGGTAGGTTGTCTTTTCATTTTGTTGAGGGTTGCTTTTGCTGCACTAAAACTTCTTAGTTTGAAGTAGTCCCATTTGTTTACTTAATCTTTTGTTTCCCTTGCATGAGGAGATATGTCATAAAAAATATTGCTATGAGAAACGTCCAACATTTTACTGCCTATATTTTCTTCTAGGACTTTTATGGTTTCAAGTCTTACATTTAAGTCTTTACTCCATTTTGCATTTATTCTTGTGTATGGTGTAAGAAGGTGGCCTAGTTTCATTTTATTTTGCATGTATCTATTCAATTTTCCCAACACCTTTTATTGAATAGACTATCTTTACCCCATTGTATGTTCTTTCTTCTTTTGTCAAATATTAATTGACCATAAAAATGTGGGTTTACTTCTGGGCTCTACTCTTTTCCTATGATCTATGTTTGTTCTTATGCCAGTACCATGCTAATTTGATTACTATGGCCTTATACTATAGTTTGATATCAGATAGCATGCTTTCTCAAACTTTGTTCTTTCTCAAGATTGCTATTCAGGTCTTTTGTGATTCCACATAAATTATTGGAATATTTGTTCTAGTTATATGAAATATACCATTGGTATCTTGATAAAAATTGCACTGACTCTGTAGATTGCATTAGGTAGTATGGACATTTTAATGATGCTAATTTTTCCTATCTATGAACATGGTGTACATTTCAGCTTATTTGTATCTTCTTATAATTTTCTGAGCACAGGTCTTTTACATCCTTGGTTAAATTTATGCCTAGGTATTTTTTTTTGATGCAATTGTAAATGGGATTGTTTTCTTAGTTTCCCTCTCTGTTAATTATTGGTGTATAAAAATGCAACAGATTTCTAGGCATTTATTTTGTATCCTGCTACTTTACTGAATTCATTTACCAGTTCTAGTTGTTTTTTTGGTGTTATCTTTAGAGTTCTCTATACTAGTACACAGTATCATGTCATTTGCAAATAATGACAATTTTACATTTTCTTTTCCAATTTGGATGCCTTTTAATTCTTCTTATTGTCTGACTGCTGTGGCTAGGATTTCCAGTACTATGTTGAATAACAGAGGTGAAAGCAGACATCCCTGTCTTGTTCCAGATCTTAAGGGAAATGCTTTTAGTTTCAGTCCATTGAGTATGATGTTGGCTATAGATTTATTATATATGGCCTTTATTATATTGAGTTATATTCACTCTATTCCCTCTTTAATGAGAGTTTTTATCATAAATCATTGCTGGATGTTGTTCAATGCTTTTTCTGTATCTATTCATATGATTATGTGATTTTTATCCTTCATTTTGTTTATGTGGTGTATCACGTTTATTGGTTTGTGCATTTTTTCTGCTTCAGTTTTGGAAGACTGTATGTTGCTAGAAATTTATCCATTTCATTTAGATTGTTAAATTTGTTGTCATGTACCTGTTTGTAATATTTTCTTACAATCCTTTGTATTCCTGTGGTGTCAGTTGTTACTTATCCTCTTTCATTTCTGATTTTATTTATTTGTGTCCTCTCTCTTTTTTCTTGATGAGTCTATAAATTTTGTTTATCTTTTCAAAGAACCAGCTCTTGGTTTCATGGATCTTTGTATATTTTTTTAGTCTCTATACCATTTATTTCCACTTCGATCTTCATTATTTCCTTCCTTCCACTTACTCTGAGCTTTTCTTGTTGTTCACATGATAATTCTTTTAGTTGTGGGGTTAGATAATTTATTTGAGCTTTTTTTTATTTCTTGAGGTAGGCCTATAATGCTATAAATTTCCCTCTTAGGACTGCTTTCACTGTGTCACATAGGTTTGGGGTTGTTGTGTTCTCATTGTCATTTGTTTCAAGGTATCTTTTGATGTCTCCCTTGATCTCATTGTTAACCCATTCATTGTTTACTAATATGTTATTTAGCCTCCATATCTTTGTGTGTTTTTCAGCTTTTTTCTTGTGATTGATTTCTAGTTTCATACCATTATCGTCAGAGAAGATGCTTGCTATGATTTCAATCTTCTTAAATTTATTGACACCTGTTTTGTGTCCTAACATGTGGTCTATACTAGAATATATTCCATGTGCACTTGAAAAGAACGTATATTCTGCTGCGTTGGGGTGAAATGCTCTGAAGGTACCAATTAAATCCATCTGGTCTAGTGTGTCATTTAAGGCCACTGTTTCCTTTTAGATTTCTGTCTGGAAAACATTGATGTTAATGGGATGTTAAAATCCTGTACTATGACTGTATTACTGTCCTTTTCTTGCTTTATGTTCATCAAGATTTGCTTTATATAATTAGGTGCTCCTATGTTGGGTGTTTAAAAGGGTTATATCCTGTTGTTGGATAATGATCCCTTTACCAGCATGTAGTGTTTTTCTTTGTCTCTTAATATAACCTTTGTTTTTAAGTCTATTTTGTCAACTATAAGTATTGCTACCCCAGATTTTTTTCACTTTCATTTGCACGAAATATCTTTTTCCATTCCTTTACTTTGAAAGGGGTCTCTTGGAGATGGGCCTCTTGTACACAGCATATATATGGGTCTTGTTTTCTTATCTGTTAAGCTACCCCATATCTTCTGATTGGAGCATTTAAGTCATTTACATTTAAAGTGATTATTGATACGTATGTATTTCTTGCCATTTTCTTCTTTACTAGAGGCCCGGTGCATGAATTCGTGCACCAGTGGGGTCCCTCGGCCTGGCCTGCAGGATCGGGCCGAAATTGGCTCTCTGACATCCCCCGAGGGGTCCTGGATTGAGAGAGGGTGCAGGCCAGGCAGAGGGACCCTACAGAGGTTGGCCAGCTGGGGAGGGACTGTGGGAGGGCTCCGGGGCAAATCTGGCCCATCTTGCCCAGTCCCAATTGGTCAGACCCCAGCAGCCAGCTAATCTATTGGTCGGAGTGTCTGCCCCTTGGTGGTCAGTGCATGTCATAGTGAGTGGTTGAGTGGCCTTATCATATCATTAGCATATTACGCTTTGATTGGTTGAACGGCTGACCAGTCAACCAGACACTTAGCATATTGGGCTTTTATTATATAGGATACCAATGTTCCTCTTTCTCCTCCATCTTTTTTTTGACCCTTTAACATTCCTTGTAATACTGGTTTGGTGGTGATGAACGCTTTTAGCTTTTCTTGTCTGGGAAGCTCTTTATTTCTCCTTCAATTATAAATGACAGCCTTGCTGGGTAAAGTCGCCTTGGTTGTAGGTCCTTATTTTTCATTACTTTGAATATTTCATGCCAATCCCTTCTGGCCTGAAATGCTGTTGAGAAATCAGCTTTCAGTCTTTTGGGAGCTCCTTTATGGGTAACTATCTTTCTCTTGTTGTTTTTAAGATTCTCTCTTTGTGTTTAACCAAAGCCATTTTATTTTATTTATTATTATTTTTTAAATCCTCACTCAAGGATATATTTTTATTAATTTTAGAGAAAGAGGAAGTGTAGAAAGAAAGAGGAACATTGATTAGTTGCCTCTAGCACACACCCTGATTGGGGATCAAACCCGCAACGTAGGTATGTGCCTTGACCAGGAATAAAAACCAGTAACCTTTAGGTACACTGGATGATGTTCCAACTAACTGAGCCACCCAGCCAGGACTAACCTTTGCCATTTTAATTATGATGTGTTCTGGTATGGGCCTCTTTGGACTTGTCTTGTTTGGGATTCTTTGTGCTTCCTAGACTAGTCTGTCTTTTGCCTTTACCTAGTTAGGGAAGTTTTCAGTCATTATTTCTTCAACTAGGTTCTCAATTCTTTGCTCTGGTACCCCTATGATGCAGATGTTGTTATGTTCATGTTGTCCCAAAGGTCTCTTAAACTATCTACATTTGAAAAAATTCTCTTTTCTTTTTGCTGCTCTGATTGGATGCTTTTTGCTACCTTGTCTTCTAAATCACTGATTTGATCTTCTGCTTCATCCAACCTACTATTTATTCCTTCTAGTGTATTCTTCATTTCAGATATTGTATTCATTTCTGACTGGATTTTTTTTTTTATTTCTCTGTCCCTTTTCACCTTGTTGTACTTCTTACTAAGTTCCTTGAGCATCCCTATAAACATTTTTAAAAACTCTGTATCTTATAAATTACCTCCATTTCATTTATCTCTTTTTTTCCCCCCTAGAGATTTCTCCTGTTCTTTCATTTAGGGCCCTTTTCTCCCCATTTTGGCTACCTATTTGTGTTTTTTTTCTATGTATTAGGTATATCTCTTATGTCTCCCAATCTTGGTATCCTGGCCTTATGTAGTAGGTGTCCTGTGGGATCCAGTGGCACAGTCTCCTTGATCAACTGACCTGGGTGTTCCAGGAATGTCCTTTGTGTGGGTTATGTGAGCCCTCCTGTTGTAGTTAAGTCATGAGTTTGCTATTGGCCCATTTTGTGTGGGTTTGACACTCAGGCTGTTTGACTGTGAGGCTCAGTGTACTAGCTGCTGTGCAGGTGCTGACCACACTAAGTAGAATTTGCTTCAGCAGGGTCTGGTGCCTGCAGAGATCTCACTTAGGCTATGCCACTTGTAAAGCTATCTGGATCCTTCTCTGATGTTGTCTGAAGTTGTGTTGGTTGTGAAGTTGTGATGTTGTCTGAAGTTGGGTGTGTTGGTTCTGGGGCCTCTTGGGAGGGACTGGTGCAGGTCAATATCAGGCACTGCCTGTGACTGATGCTGGGAAACTTGTTTGGAGCTACATGGGGATCCACAGTTTCTGGATGCCTCTGCTGTACCTGGGTATGTGTGCAAAGGACCAAGCTGTTCACCAAAGCTTGCTTGCACCAGCACCGAGTCCAGTGTTCAGTCAGCAAAAGGCCCCAAGGCACCTTGATATCCACCTTTGCCTGCCTCCACCTGCTGGTAGCCTGTCAGGCTCAGTCACTGAAAGAGCCTCTGATGGTACTTGAGTTTAATAGGTAGCTTCTCAGTGAGTCACCAGGTATGAATGGTGTTCACTAGATGGATAACACATTTAATCATAGAGCCAGTGCTGGGTCTGAGGCCACTCAGCAAAAGTCCTAGGGTATACCGAGTCTAGCTGCCACCCGCTGGGTAACTACAGACCTTTGTGGTGAAGCAGGGTCTTAGAAAATTTTCAGGGTGAGGCCAGCAGGGTTTATCAGGCCCAAACTGACCACGGCTTGGCTGTGTGAAGGGAGGGCTCTGCACTGGTCAGGCATAAGAAAGAAAAATGGACCCTGTCCTAGAGCCACACAACTCAGTATGTCCCAGATTCTGCCAGGAGCTGAGCAGGGCAGGGCTTCTGAGAGATGGGAAGGTGGGACTAGTGGATCTCCCATGTGAGGAAGTGCTGGTCAGGCTTGGGGGAAGGAGGGAGGAGTGGCCCCACCCCAGGGCCACACAACTCAGTCACCGACACCCTGAGTCTGCCTGGATATCTATCTATACTCTTGTCAAGGCATTTGGCTCCTCAGCAGGGTGTGAGCTCCACCGGATGGGAGACAGGGATTCCGGAGGGTGGGGCTATTGCATTTACCCAGGTTCATGTCATAAGGAGGGGAGTGCTCTGCCAAAAGAAAGATGGCGTCTAGGGTGTGGGAGAGGGACTCGGCACAGGGATCATGACAGCTGTCCCTTTAGCTCTCTCCCCAGAGCCACAAAGCCCAGTCTCTCCTCACACTACTCAAGTCCACTCTGCTGGAGCCCAGGGTGAGTTGCTGTGAACAGGATTTCGTGTGCTGGCCCTCTAAGAGGGCACCTGTGTCTCTAGCAGCCTTCTGTCTCTCCCTGGTGGACAGAATCCGTGATTTTTATAGCCCAGTGTTATGAGAGTGCCCGTTCCCAGCTCGGATGCTCTGGTCTGGGGAGCCTGGTGTGGGGTTGAGACCCCACACTCCTCAGAAGGAACCTCTGCAGCTGAGATATCCCTCTGGGATCTCAGATGCCACCCATGGGAACGGGCCAGCCCTTGTCGTCTCCACTCTTCCTGCCAGTCTCGATGTGGCTGCTGTAAATCTTGGTTATCAGACTCCTCTTCAGCTTGTCTCCAGTTGGTTATTCAGGATGATTGTTCTATAATTTAGATGTAACTCCAGTTTGGTCCTGGGAGGGGTAAGTGTAGATTCCACTTATCCGTTGCCATCTTGGGTCTCATCCAAAGAAATTTTTTAAAAATAACTTTCTTATTAACAATAGAATATCTTCTATGATGGAAGTCCTCTCTGCCTAATACTTAGATTTTCATAGTGCTTGCAGATATTTCTTTCTGAAAAGCTACCCGATGCTGCCTTGTTTTCCTGTAGCATTGTATTACTGTGATGCCTAGGACAAAATGATTTTTATAACCATCTAGCTACTTTCTGCTCTTTGATGATACAAATTCAAATGCTACAGATGGTTCAGAGTGACACCGGTTCAAGCATTCCACATATATGGTGACACATCCATTTTTACAAATTTTGATTTACAGCTGAGTGGCTGACAAGATGGAGGCAAAGTTCAATTATTCTGGGCCAATCTCCAGAAAAAAAATGTTCATTCCTATGCTCAGATAAATGCCGGGACTTACCTCCTTTTCACTGTGACAATATTTACTTTGACAGTAGTGTAAGTGTCCCGGTGTGTAATTAGTGGCTTTTATAAACTGAAATAGTTAATCACATTTATTTCTTGGGACTCTGGCCATCTCTCCAAAAACATACCAAGTTACTTGCAGATTCTTTGAGAGAGCTGAAGTAGTATGTGGCATGGTCAGGGAGTCCTGGGTCCGAATCCCAGCAGACAATCATTATTTGTGAGAGTGTAGATAAACTAGTATCTTTAAGCCTCCATGTCCTTATGTATCTAGTAAAACCAATACTGCTAATGACATAGGACTGTTGTAAGAATTAACTGAGATAGTATTTGGAAAGCTCTTGACATAATGAACTAGCTTGTTGTAAATTGCTCAAGAAACGATACTATTACTATATCATCTCTACAACATGCAGATTTGTAGTGTTTTCATGTGTATCTCTTTGCACAGTTTGCACAGTGGCTGCTGTGGATTTTACAATATACACATAAGACATCACAATTTACTGATATCAACAGTCTCCACTTTCGGCAAAGTGTGGAAGCTTTACTTCTATTTATGTCCCTTTACTTTCTCCACTTTTAAATAACATTGTCTCGAGTATCAGATAGTGGTATACTTTTTGTTTCAACCAATATGTATGATTTATGAAACTCATGAGATAGTTTATTGCACATATCTTCTTCAGCTGTTCTTCGTTCTTTCACAATGCTCCAAGATCCCTTTTTATTTGCCATTTTCTTTCTGTTTGAGGGACTTCCTCTAGCTAATCTGCAATGTTGGGTTTTTCTTAGTCAGATAATATATTTATTTCCTCTTCATTCCTGAAAAATAGTTTCATTGAATCTAGAATTCACTGTTTGATAGTTTTTTCCCCTTTCAGCACTTAAAAAATGTTGTGCCACTCTCTTTTGGCTTCCACGGTTTCAGATGCGAAGTCAGCTGTCATTTGAATTGGTGTTCCCCTACAGTAACATGTCATTTCTCTCTGGTTGCCTTCAAGATTTCTTTTTCTTTGCTTTTAGTTTTCAGAAATGTAGTGAAGATGTGTCTTCATATGCATTTCTTGGGGTTTATCCTATTTGGGTTTTTCTCAGCTTCTTGAGCCTGTATGTTTATATCTTTTGCCAAAATTGGCAAGTTTCAGCTATTACTTCTTCAAATACTCTTCAGTCTTGCTGTCTTCCTTTCCTTCTGGGACTCCAATGATACATATGTGGATCTTCTGTCATTGTGTTTGAGGCTCTATGCATTTTTTCCAGTCTATTTTCTCTCTGTTACTTAGATTGGGTAAATGCTATTTTCTGTTCATTGACTCTATCCTCTGTCATCGCCACTGTACTACTGAGCCCATTCAGTGAGATTTTTATTTCTGTTAGTTTTGGGAAGAATTATTTTATATAATGAGTATTAGACATTATCCAAAGAAGTTGAACTCGCTAAAAACATAAATCATATGACAAAGGTTCTCAGTAGGGTTAACGGCTGAAATGCCCTTATTGGTTCATTAATGAGATGATAAGGATGTGCCTTTCCAGGTCTCCATCATGGAAAAGAAATGTCTCCCACCCACCCCTTCAGGTGCCCCCATTAGAAACTCTGTTCTGCTCATATGCCATGCCTTAACCCAGGTTGGGGAATTATGCACACATCTAAGTCTTACACTAGGACAACACCAGGACCTCTGAGATATTAAATCATAGGATACATTTCCTTCCCTAAAATCCCCTGAATCTGCTTTCCTTTCATTAAATACTTCTGAATCATTATTGATGGAGTTAGAATTGAGATTACACCAACATGAATCAGATTTTTAAAAAAGCAGCATAGAAGTGAAGTGAGTTAAAAATTTGCTACTTCCTAGCTGGGTGAAGTGGGCATTCATATCCCACCCAGACTTAGCTTCCTTCCTACAGCAATAAGGGATTATAGGAGCTGCCCTACCTCATCATAATGAGGGCAAAGGAAGCAAGGGATGCTGAAAGTGTCATGCAAAATCTTACATCCTCACTTTCGGAGATGAACAAAGGTTCTTAGTAGCTGGTACTACAGGTTGACATCTTTTCTCTGTATTCAGAGTGCTTACACACATTCCTCACTCCCCAACCCCACCCGCCCAGCGAGAAAACACAGTACTTACCTGATGAGTTCTACTGTTTCTGAATACATTGTGTATGGAGATTTGGATTCCATTGGGCCCTGTTCCATTGCATTTCCACACTCAATGAATGACAAGGCTGCTTCGGCATAGTTCAAAGCCTTTCCAAACTTTTCCACCTGTTCAACAGAGTTAACACAGTGTTTTCCCAAAGTACAGATTTTAAACATTATTGCCACACAGTCTAGACACTTCATTTGAGAAATCCAACTTTTGAGTTCTAAAATCCTGTGAATGGAACTGAGAGGAAAAAGAAATGGGGCACTTCCTCCTCTAGTTATCTTCATAAATTGCCACTATTTTAGGGTAAATGAGTGAATGGTTATAGACAGAATTGTACCAAATCTATGTAACAACTGCCAATTAGAACTGCTCAGAACTTCACGGTTGCTCCTCTTTCAACCCCCAGGGGCGTGGCAGCTTCATTCCTTGTTCCTCCACGCTCTGCTAAATACACAGCGAAGCTGGTAGGTATGATTCCATATAAGAATTTTCATAATCTTTTTTGTATACTTCAACTTTGATGATTGACAGCATAAACCTGTACTTTTGTATTTTACATTATCTGACATTTCCTTTTCCATGCCTTCCTCCTATTGTGTGTGTGTGTGTGTGTGTGTGTGTGTGTGTGCATGTGTGTAGTTATGTCTTTCATAGTCAGGACCCCAGTCAGGGATGAGAGTGAGGAGAGGAGATAAAACTCAAGGCAATATTTCAGCTTAGCTAAAAGGGGATACAGAGTTGATATTTAATAAAGAACATTTTTTGGATTATATGAGGTTGTCTAAATTGATGTTAATCTTTCCCTACAATAGCAAGAATGAGCTTTATATTCTTAGGCTCTATTAAATACAAATTTACACATCAAGTTCCTGGTTCCATACTTTGCTACTCTCTGTAGATAATTACATATTTTAAGTTTGAATCGCATAATCTCTCCAGTATTCATTCGTGAATCAAAACAGAATTACACAAATACTCTAATTACTAATATAAGTCTTGCCTCTAAAAAAAATTCTCATTGATAATGATGCCTTAGAAAACAGAATGTAGAGCAAAATACTCCTTCATTAGCAAATCGAATTTTTAAACAGCTTATAACCCTAATAGGCTATCCAGTAATATTTCTTGGCAACGCTTTCAGATTAAAGAAGCCATTTCATTCAGTAAGGATTTCCTGAAGCATCCAGTTCTGTCCTATGTGTACTCGATACACACAAGTTCCTCCCAAGAACATACAATACAATTAGAGAGAAAAAATGTGCACCCACAGGACAGTTCACCGTGCAAGGCAGCCTGCGAGTGACTTGAAACGCAGAGCAAGGAGTCCAATGCACATGAGATGGTAGGAAGGGAGCAGGTGGTGGGGCTTCAGAGGCGGGAGGCCTTGGGGAGGAGACCAGAAAATGACAGTGGGAAGGAAAGGATTTGGGGAGCATGCTGAGAGTGAGTGTGGCGAGAGTGAGAGTGTGTAAGTATGTGCGAGCTGTGAGCGTGTGAGTGTGAGGTTCTACAAGTGCACAGGCCTGCTGGCTGGCATGAGGAAGGTCTGCTTAGAGGCCGGTGGGAACACAGGCCTGCTGGCTGAAGCTGTGTCGGGTTGGACAAGGTGACACTGAGTGAAGAATCCTAGTAACCCTGGTGATTCAGGCAGAACTTTTCATTCTGCTTTAACGATCGCTGCTCTTCTCCAACAGTGACCTGGCCTCAGCTCCTCAGGTGACCATAACCCTTCATCAGCCTGTGGGAGTGCGAGGGCAAGAACTGCACCTTCTCTACTTTCTGACACTCTGGTTATGTCCCTTGCACTGATGAACCTAGGCAGTGATCCTCAGACAAGTAAATATTGAGGGGCAACATCGGTAGCATTGGGAGCGGAGTGCTGTTATGGCTTGGGCATCTTCAACACTGGAACAATACGATAAAGGTCATTTGAAATGCCTTCTCCATCTCCAGCTCCCCAGCCTCAGTTATACATGCTGGTGGGGAATGGAGCTGGCATTCCCTGAGGCAAGAGTCCCTTTGGACGAGCCTCAAGATGCAATAACCATACGATGGCTTTTAGAAAAAACACACACATACGTTGTTTTTTTTAAAAAAAAATCTAATGTCTAAACAGCTTCAAGCTTTCCAAAACAGGTAAGAAACATTTTTTTTTATAAACATCAAGTCATGGTGACTCTAGAGCAGTGGTTCTCAACCTTCCTAACGCCACGACCCTTTAAATACAGTTCCTCATGTTGTGGTGACCCCCAACCATAAAATTATTTTTGTTGCTACTTCATAACTGTAATTTTGCTACTGTCATGAATCGTAATGTGACTATCTGATATGCTATGTGTTTTCCAATGGTCGCGACCCACAGGTTGAGAACTGTTGCTCTAGAGCAGTGATGGTGAACCTATGACACGCGTGTCACCTCTGAACGCGTGAACTCATTTTTTTGGTTGATTTTTCTTTGTTAAATGGCATTTAAATATATAAAATAAATATCAAAAATATAAATCTTTTACTATGGTTGTAAATATCAAAAAATTTCTATATGCGACACGGCACCAGAGTTAAGTTAGGGTTTTTCAAAATGCTGACACGCCGAGCTCAAAGGGTTCACCATCACTGCTCTAGAGGCTTATGTGTGTTATAACAGTTTCTGCTGTACGGTTTCAGAGAAATATTCATTTTGGCAGATACCCATGAAGAACACAAGTCTTTTTGAAAAGGGATTAGATCTTGGGACCACGCCAAGGGCTGGCCAGGCTAATATGACAGAAAAGTGCAAACTTAGATTTTATTTTTAAAGAAAAAAAAAAAATGCTACCCACTGTCTCCATTACCTCTAGTTACTATTCAAAACTTAGGACTAAAATAAAATATTCATTTCTCCAGGGTTTTCTCCCTGTCAGGCGTTATTGGTTGAAGTCATACTTTACCGGGTGATGAGTGCTTGATTATATAAACATTTCTCCATTTAACGGACTCGGCCATCCTTGTAATAGATTTTATAATTACCCCAGCTACACTGCCCCAGTGATGAAGGTGCAGTACAAACATCATTTGGAAAAACCTATCTGGAGAGAAAAGGAACTTACCATTGCATCTGCCTTATGCTTCATCCGCTTAGCTTCTTGCATAAAATAATCTGCACTGCGTGGCCTACAAGGAGAGGATGATGCCAATGTCACTGCCGTGGAAGGGTAAGGTCTCCTGAAAATCTTCCTTCCTTCTGCTCAAACTTAAATCAGTTTCAAAACTCTGCTTAACAGGGAAGCAGGTACTTTTCACATTTCCAAATCACTGCCCGTATGTAAAGTACCACGACGATATTTCGCTTAAGTTAGCAATTCAAAACACAGTCTATGCCCATCATCTACATTTGCAGTGATTTTAACACGGCTCCCCAGGGCCTGATCTGAATCAGATTTTTTATTGCATGGTTAAGAAAACAAGTAAAAAACTTACTGTGTGATATTTACACGAAACAATGGCTTTTTAATGTAAAGATTGCAAAATATACCTCATAATAATTGCATGGGTGAGTATATATATGTATCCTTGTGAAAATCTGTGTCATTTACAGGTATACAAGGTAGAGTTATATGTACCCATATGTAATTATTTTAAAGCTTGGCAGTGGGAAAGGAAAAGAGGTCATGCTGTATGATTCCATTCCAGGCATAAGGACATTAACTGTAAAACGATGTCTACCTTGTAACAACGCAGTCGTGGCCTGGTTCTCTACGGCTCTGATTAGCTGGCTGGTCAATATGAGCAGTAGCCGTGCATTATTAAAGCAACACCCCGGCCAGCACTGCTTCTGCTGGGAGGTGATCCGAGTGTGCGTGTAACTTCAAGTTACACTGAGGTACTCATCACACTGCACCTTTCAATGCTTAGTCTGATAGTTTTTACACATCTGCATTCTTGAGGTGATATCACCCTAAACTGTTTTTGTGGTATTATAGGTCTTTATGTAGTCAATAAACTTGACTTACTCATGGATACCCAAAATAAGCTAGGACTCCCTGGAAGCGATAAGACGTAGGTAGTGATATGAACCATGGACTGTTTAACCTATTGTTACATGCTTATTCTGGACTGTCTTTTTCAGATTCTAATGGGTCTCTTTTCTCACTGCAATATTAGGTGGTCAAATATTAGGTGACCTTTTACCTGAAAAGGTCAAAATGCTTAGAAAAACCATGAATATCATATTGCCGATACCACTGCAATCCAAAACGATTATGCTCATTTTAATGGTTTTAATCAACCAATCAATCAAAGAAACAAACTGGTCATAGGTCACAAATCACTGAAGCATAAAATATTGTCAGGACTGTGGTACCACGCTAGAAATATTCAACTTCAACAAAGAAATGAGGAACATAGTTGCAGGGTTTCCTTGATGCATTAATAAAACTTCCGTTTTGGCTCATCTTCCCTTTGCCATTCCTCCTGTCACTCAGGCCTGCAAACTCCCATTCATCTCGGCGGGTCTCCAGTGGCCTGCAGGTTCCTTCATTGAAGGCCCTGGTCCTACGGACTCTGGTTTCTCCAGTTCCCTTCCTAGATGTCCATACTTCTTCCGTTTGAATGGCTTTAGTGGCCTTTACATGGTTGTTTTCCAAAGTTCTTTGTCCCCATATTGACCTCTGAACACATGTTGGTTGTCTGTTAGGTCTTTGATTCCAATTCTGGTGATTTACAGATTTTTGTTGTTGGTTTTTAATGAACTGACTTTATTTTTTTAGAGCGAGTTTAGGTTGACAGGAAGGAGAAAGCACAAAGGGTTCCCACGCATCTCCTGCCTCACACACCCACTGTCAGCATCCCTTCACTATCAGCATCCCCCACAAGAGTGGTACATTCATTACAATCAATGAACCTGCATCATTATCACCCAAAGCCCTTAGTGCACTCTAGTGTTCACTCTTGATGCTGTATATTCTATGGGTTTTGACAAACGTTTAATGACATTTATCCACCATTCTAGTATCCGACAGAGCAGTTTCACTGACCAAAAAAATCCTCTGCTTTCTTGTTTGGTTTTCCCTTTGTTTCATGTGGCGAAGACGAAGACCAAACTCCACTGCTAGCCCAAACCCAGGTCAGACTCCTGAGCTTCAGATGTGGTCCCAGAGCCCATTTGTTCCGAAGAGGAGTCCAAGTATTTCCATCAATTTCTCCCGTTATGAGATGCCACGGATGCTTTCTTGTAAATAAATTCCCCTTTCTTTTCTCAAGGAAACATCCACAACAGAAATCTAGGCCCCCGGCACCTCCCTTGGGTTACAGTTCCACTCCCCTCCAGTCTTTCCTGGACTTCAGTCCTGATCAGTATTTGTACAATATGGTTTTCCTTACCTCACCAGCCTGTCACAGACCTACAGCCATTCTGCAGTGCCCAGGACATCTCAGCTCAGGCCTCCAGTAATCTCACCCGGCTGTCACTCACTCACCAAGGCCTCCGACCACAGGGGTCGCCTCCTCACTGTCTTGTTACCATGTCGTCCCTGTCTTAGCAGCTCTGCTCCCACTTTTCCTCCTGTCTGGAATATTCTCCTCTCTGCTCCTTCACTGAGTCCTACTTCGAGCCCAGAATCACCCATCCCTCAGATTTTACTGCCACGAGGCCTTCTTGGTTACTTTGGTCCATTCTCACGTCTTTCTTTCCTAATCTGAGGCACTACCTCTTGTTCACACTACACTTCTGGGCATTCAGTTATCTTCTGAGCTACCCTGGGCTACAGCCATTGCAGTCACACAACTCGGCAGCTGGTACATTTCAGCAGGGACGACGCTGTGGCCTCTTTGATCTTTCCCACCCTGCAGTTTTAGGCACATGGGAGAAGGAAAATGAATTCCCCTTGAATAGCACCGAATTCATTTTGAGCTTAGAAGAGAGTGGTGGCTTCTGATGGCAGCAACATAGCCAATGAGCCAGAGAACGTCTCCATGGCAACCTGAAATTCTCTACATCATTATCTGCTCTACACTCCAGTATATGAGTTTGGTCATTTTTTTTCTTCCCATTTGGAAGGTCCTGTTGCTAACAGATCATCATTTCAAATGCATTTCGTTTTCATGAAAGGATTCTCTTGATAATAAGCTAAGACATCTCAGTTTTTACAAGCCTTCTACATTACCCTTATGGATGGCAGTGCCTCCTAATTCCTATGATGGGGTCCTCCATCAATGCTGTTTTTATCCGCAGCATATGAATGTATTTTTAAACCTGATATGAAGGCTGAGTCACAAACCCTCATAATAGTGGACGCGGATAAGTAACACATCTAATGTTCTGACTGTATCCCTGCAGCAACACCAGTAACCTGAGATGCTGGAAATGCACCATCCAGAGGCCACTTACGAACACATTAGAATTCTCATCTTTGCATGCAGTGGAGGGCTCGTTACACTGATTCACTGAAGACGGCCTGAAGATTGGCCCATTTTTCTCCTTTTAGGTGATTTCTGGTGCCAGGCTCCTAGACCAGATCATTATAGAGGCAAAGGGACCAATGGAATGTTGCTGAAATTGTCCAGCGGAGGATGCGTGCTGTCACCAGGCATCGCTCCACCTGCAATGCTCAAGTCAGTAGGAAAATGAAATTGTTGTTACTATTGTGGCGGTTACAGAACATGATATGGTAAAGGTACTAAAACGAAATCTAATTATCTCAGTGTTCAGACAGATTTATCATCTAATCTATTTTTTTTTTTAACACGGAAAACCTGAAGATTTTGTTTTTCGTTTAGATAATAACATTCTTCACATTGTTTGTCAGTGATGGTATTTTATGAGGATACAGGAGCAAGCCTAAAAAAAATTCAATTAAACATCATCTATGTAATTGTGTAGCTTGGGCTGATCTTCAGAAATGGGCCTTGAGTGACCTAAAAAGGCAACGCTTAGCTGCATGTATCTTTGTCATAAGAGGTCTCAGCAGCAAAAATAATCTGAGCACTTGATCCGCAAGAATGCTGCGTTCTTTTTCTTTTCCTCTCCTCGCCCTCCCACCTACCAGCACGCGCCTGCCTTCTAAGCAGCGACTGGTCTGAGCTGCCCTAATATTTCTCTGGCCCTCGAGGATTACAGCAACCTTGTCCTTTTGTTCTCCTTCGTGGAGGAGACAGAGTTGAATGGGCTCCCAGGGAGAGGCTGGCAGACTGCTTCCTGTCATTCCTGCCTCTGGGAAGGAGCCCCAGCAGCGCCAGCCTGTTCTGTGAAACCTGGCAGGCAGGAGCGCACGGCTGTTTGAATAAACAGGTGCCTTGGCACAGCAGAAATTGGAGTAATTTTCTTGGGGAAGTTGAAATCCAAACCAGACAAATAGGCAACTGCATGCCAAGTGAATTTATCACCTGACATCCCGTCAGCTGCCATTTGATAAACCCCAGACGCGCCCCAGTGTCCTGAGCGTTGGGGTACTTTCTTCACAAAGAAGAATGTGGAGGAAGTTGCCAGATGGGAGAGGGTGGGGGCCTGGGTGAAAAAGGTGAAGGGATTAGAAGTACAAACCGGTAGTTACAGAATAGCCACAGGATATAAGGCACAGTATGGGGAATATAATCAGTAATATTGCAATAACTATGTATGGTGCCAGGTGGGTACTTGAATTACTGGGGGGTCATTTTGTCAATCACATAAATGTCCAACTGCTGTGCTGTATGCCTGAAACTAACACTGAGTGTGCGCTGTAGCTGAAACAGGGCAGTCCAGGAACGGTTTCGATGCGCTGAGTGACGCCGCTGCTGAGGCCTTGCGGAGCCCGCCCCTCCGGTGCTGGAGCTGGCTTTGCAGGTGGCCTGCATCTAGGAAGCATGGGTTCACCTGCAACTTGTGTTCTCTAACCCTGGCGTTGGCTGGGTCCCGAGTCCCTGGGCCCCGGCTTCTCAGAAGCACCAGCGACCAGTCATTGTGCCTCCTTCAGGCCTTGGCTGTGCAGATGACTGCTTCCTTCGGCCACGGCCACACACAGAAAACAGCACGCGCTTTCCAGGATGCGGGCGGAGTGGGGCAGGGTTTGTTATTCCATCAAAAGCAACTTTCTAGTGAAATGGAAACTCATCAATTAGATTTTTGTTGTTCTCTGGGTGTGACATCTTATATAATAAAAGCCTAATATGTTAAGTGTCCAGTTGTCCATTTAACC